ATCTTATAACACTAGCTCAAAATCCTGTAGCACCAGTTTTTTTTTTGGGACCCAGTTCACGAGCCTCGTTTTCGAATACCGCGCTCCAAAATCGAGTGCCGTCACCGTCGTTGTGGTCGCCCATCCCTCTATTTTAAATTAAAAATTAATTATTTCATCGCCGCACTCCCCCTTTAACATGGTAACATCAATGTATTTTTAAAAATCAGACAGTGACGTTCTCTCAGAAGTTGGTTGTTCTGTAGACGTTTATCTGTTGATGACCTTTTGACCTCCTGAATTCTGCAATGAGATTTTCAGGTCGATTCAGCCGAGACGGCCCGAGTGGAGTTTCATGTAAATGTTTCGTACGGAAAAAAATCGCGAAGCGATTTTTTTTTTTCGTACGAAATATTTGCATGAAACTTCACTCGGGCCATCTCGGATTGACTCGACTAAGTTCGATACGAGGAACAAGAGCAGACACGTCGCAATGTCGTGACGCTCGAGATTTACCATTACTGTATTGCTCTTTCTATGTTTGCCTACGGTAGGCCTATGATATCTTACGGATTTATGGGATGTACGTGTGCAACTAACTGTGACCTTCTTGGAATTTTATTAAATGTTAGTATAATATCTACAACAACAGCTAGTACCCCCTTTTATAAAGTGTTGATAGGTACAGTAGGCCCCTAATACCAGAGGCTAGAGAGAAAGAGGATAAACTGGGCCTAATTAAGTCCTACCTAGTATAGGCCGAGGGTCCTAGGCTGACACCATGGAGGTATAAAAATAGTAATATTTTATACCTCCATGCTGACACCAACAGTCACGCTTTACATACAGACGTTGATTGAAATTTTGGAAAAAAAAAATGGAAAAAAGTTAAAGCATGAAATTAAAAATAGAGTGCATAAGAGAAATATTATTAAATAAATAAAATATACCATTCGGCGGCGTTATTGAACTTGACCAAATTCTATCCTTGTAAATGTTAAATAATAAATAATAATAATTTCAGCATTAATTACCTTGACCTAAGCCTTGTAATGAAGAACCATACTATTTACTAGGCCTATAAATAATAACTAGCCCAGGAAGAATATCTTTTGTGTTATTTCCCTTAACGTCGATTTGTTAATTGTTCTCTAATTCCTCCATTGTCTAAGTTCCCCTTAAGGTAGGTCTACAGGTTGGTTTTAGTAACATAATAATAATTAATAATAATAACAATAATAATAATAATAATAATTTCAGCATTAATTACCTTGACTTAAGCCTTGTATACTATTTACTAGCTATAATTAATAACTAGCCCAGGGGGATATCTTTTCTGTTATTTCCCCTTAACGTCGATTTTTTAATTGTTCTCTAATTCCTCGATTGTCTATGATCCCCTTAAGGTAGGCCTACAGGTTGGTTTTAGTAACATAATAACACTGTAATTAATAATAATAATAATAATAATAATAATAATAATAATAATAATAAATAATCATTTCGGCATTACATGTAATTAACCTGGTCTAGTCTTGTGATCAAGAATCTGCAGATTAATGCCTGATATTAACTAGGCTTAGGCCTCATTTATACATTCATTGGTGCTCTGCCATTTTGGCAGGTGTTATGGCATCCAGTATTTTAGAGCTGCCTCTTCTCAGCTCTTCTCTTAATTTGAAAACTGTCACCCTGTTTCATTTGATCAAACGCCCCGAGAAACGCGCTTTTCCTTACTCTCCCCCAGAAAGCGTATATTTTTTGTAGTTAGGCCTAGGTAATTATGCAAAACCCAGACCTAACTAAAAAATAAAAATTTCCACAGTAAATAACACTTTTTTACTCGTGCAGCTCAATCAAATATTATGTCATTTTAAACGACCCATTAGTATATTAGCACGGTAACGTCAACGTATTTTAAAAAATTAGACAGCAACGTTCTCTCAGATCAGAAGTTGTTGATGACCTTTTGACCTGAATTCTGCAATATTAGATTTTCGGGTCGATCGATTCAGTCGAGACGGCCCGAGTGGAGTTTCATGTAAATGTTTCGTACGGGGGAAAAAAAATCGCCTCCCAGGATTAGAAATCTCTAAATAGAGACTGCACTGAATAAAAGTGGTCTCCAAGCACCATAATAGAGGAGGTACAGTAAGTGCACCTGAACCCTCTAAAATGAAGACCGAAGCTAAAAGTGGTCTCCAAAAGACAACATGGGACAAACCATTTATTTGTTATGTAGAAAATGTTGTTCGACCTTTAAACTTGTTTTACCTACTTGAAACTGTTCAAAAACACGTTGTAAAAACTCTGAAACTTTAAGGTGAACATAAAATTTATACTTTACTTAACTTGTGTACAATTGAAAACATAAACAAACATTTCTAACTCATTGTATTTTCTTTTTAAACAATACTATATTTTAGAATTTTTGCTCCCTTACACTCTAGGCCTAGTATGTTAATGTCCCAATTTGTTCCCAATCTGTTTATCTAAATGGTCAAATCATTAATAGGTCCATGATCTAATACTTTCTAACAACTGACGGAGACTCTGCTAGTGAATGGGGAAGTAACGCATGCGGCTTGCGAAATAGAGACGTAAAACGTTATTATTTTTCCGTCAGTGTAAAATATATCTGCAAAAGTGTGATAATTTCACTATTATGTTGTTTTTGAGACTGGTAAGTTTAGAATCCCAGATATTTATTGAGTGCATCGGTTTTACATTTTGTCAAGGGCTCAGGAAATAACCGCAAATATACTGTATTCATAGAGCTCTTTGTCAAAATTAACAGGTCATTGCAAAACATTCACTGAATTTTGTGGATAACTAAACATAATATAACCTCAAACACTATTTTTATATTGTAGCATTTTTTGCAATGTCAATGTTTTCTCATTCCTGAAGATGACACAATAAAGGTGGAGACGTTACTATATTCGGAGTAACGTTCGTTCTGTGTTGTTCAAACACCCTTCTTGTAATACTTGTGTAATGTTGTTTTTTTAGATTCACAGCCAGTGGCTTAAAACAACAATCAAAAACTAGGTTGTTAAAAAAATATTAAATGGATGAACTTAAGAAAATACATCTGTTAATCATAAATGCTTCTATGGCTACGTTCGACACTATCTTTCTTCATCAATCTTACAACAATTCTAGGCGAATTTATTCGCGCGAATCGAAAGCGTCGGTTCATGTGCATGCGCATTCACATTCCTATCGGAGTTTTTGCGAAGCGAAAAAATGCGCAACCAATCAGAGCTCAGGAAGCGAACCGATGCTTTGATTCGCGCGAATAAATCCGCCTAGTGGAAAACAGGATTTACGGTCCACAAGCCAGTCAAATTCTTTCAGGTTATCTGTCCCAGAGTACTGCATATTCGTACTGGCGAACTGTCTTTTTCTTTTGTCGCTCCGAAATTATGGAACTCTCTTTCACCTAATCCTAGATCAACTTCTGATACTAATGCATTCACGACCCTCCTTAAAACCTCTTTAATCAATAATTCTTTTATCTTTAAGCGCCAGTGACAAATAATTTTTTTTTCGAAAAGGCGCTATACAAATTCTCCAATTTATTATTATTATTAATATTAATGTTGCAGTTCCATTTTTCAAATTGCCGAGTATTTATTGATAAAAAATCTGTCTGATTTTATTTTTAAATCTGGTCTTGAATTGGAGGTCATTTTGTCACTTGGTAGGTACTTCCATAAAGGTGGTTTCGTTCTCGAATTAGAGGGGTCTCATAATTAGTCCAGACCATCTAAGCCCCACCGGGGTTGGGACTGAGACAAGAAAATTATGATTAGGCCTATCACCACCACCACCAGTTTTAAATGGTCTCCAGTTCTAGATGGGCTTCCCGTCCTGTTGCGTAAACTCCCTTTATATCGACTTACCAATGCGCGGTGTGATCTATACGCATTATTTCGAGAAAAACGGAATGTAACAACAAGTGAAAATGAATAAGTAAATCTGGATCCATTTTATTTATTATATTTTACGTTATTTCACACACATTAGAGGAATTAGTTTTGCTTAGAGAGAAGCACGAACAAGGTCTTTGCTTCATTCTGAAAAGAGTTCACCATAACCTTTTTTCATAGTACTGTACAGTAGTTATTAAGTTCGCTTGTGTGTCCCCGCGCCCGCTCAGCTTGTAGGCCTATTTGTATTCTGTATATCCGACATTGTATATTGTACCGTGTTTTGGCAACAAATAAAGAATAAGAATACCTGTAAGAATATAAGTGTGAGCATTGTCTGAGGTTGACCATTTGTTCGTGTCTCTTTCTCCACTATGATAATGATACATCAATACCCCCAACAAGTATGGAGCTCAGTATAAAACACTGTAAAACATGAAATTTAACAATAATAAATAAGCACATCTAGTCTCTGGGCACAATCACAGAGACGCACATAAATTCTCGAGTTAGGAGTGCGCCATCATGTATCAATTACGTTGTAAAATGTCAATATTGTGGTTTTCACACGTGAGTAAGCATAACGAAGGCGTTGTCTAATTTTAACCAATCACAGACAGAGTTGAATGAATGGGTTGGAATGAATGTGTTGGTATGAATGGGGTTGGTTATAACTGGATATTTCTAGCTGCGTTTAATTTTACTACGTACCGTATTTATTATGGTATAGTACTGTACTGTGTTATTATTTACATTTGTAAGTATTGTGCTGTGGAGAGGTGGTCCCTCGTAACATGTTAGGTTGACCATGAAGTTATTAATACTCCAGTTGTACGGTCGAAATTTTCAAATTTATCTTATATAATTGATAATCGTGCGTTTGCTTTATTCTATAAGACAAATATCAAATTTGTTGTTGTTTATTGTTGTAGTTTGTTTGATCGGTGGTATTTTTAGAGATGTCTAGAACAATAACAGATATGACACCATGTTTTTCAAACCTCAAGAACAAAATAGAAAAGGCGATGTAATACTTGGAAATTGCTTTGTTTTATTGCTTTTTATTTGTTGTTTTTTGTTTGTTTGTTTTTGTTTTATTGCTGCTTATTGTTTTCTAATTATTCTTGTTTATTATGGCTTTAGTTGTCGTTTATAGTATATACTATTTTATTTGCTTGTATTTTTGTTTATTAATGTTGTTTTAAATTGTTATTATTTTAATGATTTATTATATTATTTGTTATATATTGTCGTGTACTGTTTATTTGTTGTGACTGTCACGCATGAGAAGGCAATAAAGAAGGAGTTGTCTCATTTGACCAATCACAAAGACCTTGAATGAAATACACGTTCAGTCAAAACTGGATATTTCTAGTTGCGTAGCACTGAACTACGTAGTACTGTATGTGCTTGTTCCTATTTTGCTTTATTTATGTACAATATTTACTATCGTCGGCAGTATCGGAGTTCAGAGCGGCACACGTAAATATGTTGGGTCGGCTTTGCAAAACGATTAGTCATAATGTGCGCGTTTCATCTCGGGTTCCTCATACTCGAATTAACAATAGTTTGCTTAATTTTAAGAAAAATAGTACAGGCTGCGCTCCCTGCCGGCTGTATACTTCAAATACAAGCAACGTACGGACATCGGCAGTCGCTAGTGATAATCATGTATTCGAACAAACTACCGATGAACTCGATTTTGAAGATGCGGAAAAGGCGTTCGCCAACAAAAATATCTTGGAGCTTCTGAGATCAATGCTTGTTTTGCGAATGTGTAGCTACCGTGTTTTAGTTGACAATGCCTTAAAAGTAAGTTTAGTTCATTTATTTTCACTATATGCACATTGCAGCTAATTATTGACGGCAGTAGAAGGATTGTCTTTGTGATGGTCCTGTGTTGTGGTGGGGATGGCAATTTGGGTGGTGGTGTGGCAAGGGAGTCGCCAGGAATCCCCTAAGAGGGGTCCAAACTCCCCTACAAGGCCATTCCCCGACAAAGGGATATACTCCCTCGAGGAAGCCTAGCCAGTGGCGGTGCTAGCGGGGAAGGGGGAATTCCCCAGATAATTTTCTCCCCGTTAATATTGGTTATTACAAATTGTATTTTTACCAAGTCTAATTTGACTTTGCCTTTATAACTTTGAGGCAAGGAGCTGAGCCCTCACTCACCAAACTAATGTAAGTGAATAAGCAGCAGCTTTGAGTTATTGGTTTTTCTCTATATTCATAAGCTAAGATTGATTGCTCCACTTTCTTGTGTGCTGCCATTGATATAAAAGTGTAATCTCAAATAAATATTATTAATATTATTATTATTAAGAATCCCGCAAATTGCGAAAGACTTTGGAACATTTCTAATTATTGCTATTTATTGTTTACGGTACTTTTTTTAAAATTGATTTTTGACATTATTTCTGTAGTTTATTGTTTTGGTTTTTTTCTTATTGTTAAAGTTTGTAGTAAACCGTTTTGTTTTTTTGTTTTTTTTTTTAATTTATGTTTAAATCCATCATCTGCGAAACTAAGCCTTAACATAATTCCATTTTTACCATACTCCATAATTTTAATACCAGTAAATGTATACCTATTGAATAGGCTTAAGTACTACAAAACACATTTTAGTATACCATTTATGTATTTTAATGTTTCTTAAAGTTTTTTCTGCTATGTATTTTTGCACCTACTGTAAATTCTTTTTGGACAAATTAAAGAATCTTAATCTGAATGTTAGAAATTTGTCATTAACATTCGTCATTTGTCATTAACATGAGTAATTCAATTTAGGCCTATTATATTTATACAGGTGGTAGTTTAATTCTTATATAATGTAGGCTTATAATAAACAATCTTAAATTGTCATTGAAGTGTCTTATTTCACAGCTTATGGATTTAGGGCACAGAATACTTGGCCAGAGACTGTTCACAATGATAATGAAGGGAAGTTTCTATGGTCATTTCGTAGCAGGCGAAAGATCAGATGTTGGAAAAACAGTCGCTCGCCTCAGTTCAGCGGGCATTGGATCAATGTTACACATAACTGCTGAAGATACTTCTCATATTAAAAGTGACAGCAGGTGGGTTTTAGTAGCTCTGCTACCATAGATAACCTAGTTTGCAGAATATTTAATTTTTTTATAAATGGATGATTTGAATAAAATTTGTTTGTAAAAAACCCTCAACAAATTTGTATGTAAAAAAATGGTTCAACTACACCTGGGCACTGTAATTTCATTCCCATCCCAGGACCCATGGCCATTTGAAATAAAAAAAAAAACACAGAGAAACAAACCAAAACCAGCAGGATTGAAATGGCATGACTTTTTTTTTTATATATAAACTAATTAACAGCAATTAAAATATGCTTAACCTTTGTGTTTACAATCAATGAAGTATGTCTTAACCTTAATATACACTTCCTAAATTATAAATTTATTGTAGGTAGACTACAGATCACAGTTTTTTAATTGTTAATTGGTTTATTCTTTCTGTACTTTCAAATACTTGTTTTCATTGTAAGGATGGACCGTTCGCTGTAAACATATTATGTCACCGATCTAAACTGTATATCCAAATAAACAAATAAAAATAAATAAATTATTTTATCCTTAGATAAGTTCCCCCGGGGAATAAGCCAGGTTGTTTTGTTTGATTTTGGTATAAAGTGCTGCTTTAGATCTTTACCACCCATTTTTTTCCAAAATGAACCAAACAGTGCATTGTTCAGTATAGGTTAATGCTGTATACATTTTGGTTGAATTATTTTATGCAAGGCTTGCCATTCCAAAACCAGCATACTAATGGATAATTAGAATATGAATGTGGAAGTATTATATACTTTGGTATAGAGAGTCTATTATACTTTTTTCCACAAGTTTGGCAATAATACAGTAAAGTTAATTCCAGTGAGGCAAGACATTTGTTATACTTTGTTTAGTGAACCTGCCGCTCACCAATAATGATTTTGAATAAAAATACCATTTTATTTTTGGCCAATTAGCACACCCATCGCCATGAAAAAATGGAAATTTCAGAAAAAGTTTTCTGTTATTTTTGTTACTCATGTCACTGCCTTGAAATCGCCAAAAATGAAATATGTATATAAATTTAAAGCACTTAACCATCTCATTAACACTGTTTACATTCAACAGCAAAATTTCATTTTTATTTTCTCCTCCATTTGGCAAAACCAGGGAACAGTTACTGTAATTTGCTAATAAGAAAAAACAATTTTATTTTTATTCTTTTTCTGCCCTCTGACAACCTTTAAAAAAAATAAGTTTTTGCAAAACAAGGTATAAAGAAAAATCTCGCCTAAATTTAAAAGCATTTAAAAAGCATTAAAAAAAAAAGCATTTAAAAAAAAGCATTTAAAAATAAAAGCATTTAAAAAAGAAAAAAAAAAGCATTTAAAATAAAAGCATTTAAAAAAAAGCATTTAAAAAAAGCATTTAAAAAAAGCATTAAAAAAATCATTTAAAAAAACATTTAAAAATAAAAGCATTTAAAAAAGAAAAAAAAATCATTTAAAAAAAAAGCATTTAAAAAAAAAGCATTAAAAAAAAGCATTTAAAAAAAGCATTAAAAATAAAGCATTTAAAAAAAGCATTTAATAAAAGCTTGCAATATGGAGAATAAGAATATATAAAGAAGTCAATTTTAATTTTTTGGTCACTGATGTTGGTTTTGGCATGGCAAGCCTCATATATTGTTTTTTTATATAGAATATACTGTAAAACTTCTAATAATAACACATTACTCTATTAGTAACCCCTTCTAATATTAACCCAACCTAACAGTTAATCCATAATAATAACCCACTACTCTAATAGTAATTCATGGTGTTACTATTGAGAGTTGCCAAACTATAGAAAAAATGACTTTCAAATCAACATTTTTGTCCTTATTTTGATGATGCTGACACTTGAATAAATACTATTAAATATAACAATCTCTTATCTGGGTTCTTCTTTATTCATTCAGTAAACTATTATTTTTATAGAATACAGTATAACATTCTACTCGTCTCCGAAGAGCACTACTCATTCGCATCGTTGCCTTTCTAACCTCACCTGCGTTGCCAGACTCACAAGTATTACCCAATTCTACTACATTACACTTATAACACAATTTATTCCTAATAAAATAGGCATTCTTTACAGTGTGATTGCGTCCTTTCTTGAATTTACTCCTTCAATCAATAAGTTTTTTTTTTACTCGTACTGTAGTTATTTATTTCTATGAAATGCTGGGTTGTGCGGGGGGGTTTACTATTTTCAAGTGCCTACATTAGGCTTAGTAATAGTAACCCACTACTTTAATAGTAACCCATACTCTAATAGTAACCCACTACTTTAATAGTAACTCACTAATTTAATAGTAACCCATACTCTAATAGTAACTTACTACTTTAATAGTAACCCATACTCTTATAGTAACTTTTACGGTAATGCATTTATCCATTACAGAAACTGCTCAAGGTGTTTTATTTTTACTATTTATAATAGAGTATTAAAATATATATTTCTAATTGTTAATGATAGTGAAAATGAACAATGGTATGATGAAAATGCAGAAAAGGTGTTGGAGTGTCTTGAATTGCAACTTGAACACTGTGATAAATCACGACCATTGGTTACACACATCAAGATATCCAGTTTCATTAATTCTGAACTATTGGTATGTTATTTTTTTTCATTTTTCAAAGACTTTCATTAATTTATTTTTCTTTTCCCAACAAATTAGTTCAATGCTAATTGTATTTTCAGTTATCTCAGTTTCTCAACAAATTTAAAACACGGAATTGCTCATGTAAACAGATTAAATAAGTTGTCAAAATCCAAATAGTCACA